AATGTGAAGCCGTCTGTTGCTCGTTCTGTTGTTTAACGTTCTGTCTGATGACCCGGAAGAATTTCACAATTGTTACCCATGATATGAACATCACGTTCCAAAACAAATAATTTCACATGAATACTCATTCACAATAGTGGCATTAAATAACACTAGAACTGAATGAGTTGAAATACATATATGGAGGCATTGATCACTGTACACTGTGGTGTGTGTTAATTTATAAATTGAAGTTGCACAAATACAAATGGTAAACTGGAAAAGTATATTTCTTTTTCATACTTATAATATATAAAAATGTTCACCCAATACAGTTTTACCGACGTGAATAGCTCATTGTCAACCGAGGTGAAGCATTACAGGTATACATATCCCTGTGTCTATCTGCTGACATATGTGGTTGTCTAACTCCATCCGGGTACATTCCTCCCGAAATTACCTGATTTACGTCAATAAGTTGTCAAAGGATACGATACGCGGCAATAATGAAATAATTAGTTTGCCATGTTTTCTTTTACTATTTGACTGTTTTATTGGAAATAACACTAGGATTTTGTAGCGATTTTTAGTCGCGTTTGCCATAAGTTTCGTCAGCGAGCTCAGCTACGCGCTTTGAGACATTCGACCTGCGATTGCGCAGTTTGTGGACTTTGCCATGTGACGGCAACGCTTTGTTTGATTTTGTCATGTGTTTTGTGTGTATATCGACATATCATGTATAGTGTATTTGTAAAGGATGATGTTACAGCGAGCGCAAGATATTTACATACACCTAACTCCCGCACCCGATAGGTAATTACCGAGGGACTTTGCAACATCCCCAGACACTTTCCTAAACGCTCCACGACCGTTGTAGACGCAATAAAGTTACATATATGCTTGTTCATTTAATACATTCTATTTTGAACGTTTCACGAAAATAATAAACCTAGTCGATACAAATATTTAAAAACGCCCCTAACATATTATGAAATTATCTGAATTATCCTCGTGAGAACTGATTTTGAACAATTATTGCTAATACGTCAGGCATTGTGTGAAACCAAGCACTGGGGAAAGTGTGTGTTTTGTGCTGGGCGAACTCTCTATTCATGGAGCGACTATTATTCCGTACAGGATTAAATCGAGAGTCGACTATGCTAGCTGAGAGCACAGTGTTTGAAGTACATAGCATACAAGTATGAGTAGCCTCAAATCTCGTATCAAAGTAAGACTAATTAATGAGTAGTATCATTTGACCCTTTCACTTCAAGTGTTTGAACACCAGTGTTGCATCAATGAAGCTGTTGGAAGTATCAAAGAAGAGGAACTAACATACCCAGATTACCTCATCTAAGTGATTTTCACGCGTGTCGATTTCGAACTATGAACTTTTGAACTGTTATATTAAGAACATTGATTTTAACTGCTTATCACTAGGCGTTGACCATAACTGACACTCTTACTATTATCCATTTACGTAATATGCATTATCGTCGAGTAATTGTATGATTTTTAAGTAAAACTTAAATTTTCTAGCCATGTACTTTCGTGAAATTGCAGCATCATGACGTTTACAAGATCCTGACCATAAGAGTGGATGTTAGAAATATCACGGCTAAGAGGTGCGACTAACGACTTATACTACGACAATCCAACGAAAGCGCGAATTAAACGCACACACTGGCTCGCCATATTGCTGTCATTACATCGCCCTATTGCAGGGTACATTTGCATAAACAAAAACGAATCTGGTCAGTGTGTTGACGTGTATATCACGTGACAACGAATGTATTCTACAGACGTTTACATCTGTATGACCATCACAACCAAATTCCTCACAGAGCAGGGAAACTGACTACCAATATACGAAATACATTTCAAAACCTAAGAGTACAGACATGCCCCACACTAACGAATACGCAAATTACCAATCTACATGTGTACGAAAGATCACTAATATGCATATTAAAAACGTGTTGTTGTAGATGTGACAAAATCCAGCTAATAGGTATGTAGCATTGTTAATTGTAATAAGAATTAATGTATGTGCTTTTGGAATACTGTTGTGAAAGGCCAGAATTCCGGATTCCGTCGAATAGGATTTGCCCCGTCTGGGCCGTAATCTGTAATTAAGCCTAACGAGTAATAAATGAAATTTATTATTTCCACTGTATTATTTTCTGGTAGGTGATGTAGCACACATGTGTACTTCGCATACTGACAGTATATTTCAAAAATCCACGGAAAGCGATTATATAAAAAAAGGTAATATACTGAAAATTGGCGTGATAAAAGTGAACAACAGACGCCCTTACATCAGTGAAAAGTGTAAATAATAATAATATCTTTATTTCATCCTTAGAAATAACATTTTAATTGGTTAATAGCAATATGTATATACAATTAATTAGAGAAAGTCAGTCTTAAAAATCAAGAGAATGCTAAAAATGGAAGAAATAAAATCGCCTAACAGCTTAATTATGAAATCCGTGATCGTACTGTTGACGCCAGCACCATAGACAACTCTCCTGGAAGTTTGCATGCGCGCCCACGCTGATTTGGGGTGTAACTTCAAGTTGCACACGTAATAATGAGCTTCCGGGTATACCATTTGACGTCACAAAAAAAGAATTCCCTTCTATCGACTATCAGCAAACTGACATGTTTGTATATCAGGTATGACCAAGCAAGATTATTTTTGCACCCCAGTTAGATACTCGAGGAAGTTTCTGAGTCGGCGCGGAAGTCGAAGATTGTTGCCATGGGTCGCCAGGGGGTCACCATAGATTAATTGGTATCATCAGTTCGAATGTAGCATGTCAGGCCATATCCGTCTGTCATGTGTTCTTTTGTTCCCTTACTGTCAGCTGAATCACGCATGCAGTAAAATAATTCCACATGGGTGCACATTCAGTAGCAATAAATAGAAAAAACACATAATGGAACGAAATGAATAGAAATGCACGTCATACATTTATACTTTACAGTAGTGTGTTAACCACATATTAACCCTGCACACGATAATAAAAAAATATCAAGCACAGGAAAAGAAACTTTACTGCAGTTCTATTGACCTCAGGAAATGCTTCGATACTGTGTGGAACACTGGTCTAATGTATAAAATGCAAACCAACAATATCAATGGCAATGTCTACAATGTCATAAAACATATGTATCTGAACAAGAAATGTGCAGTCACACTTGAAGATAAAGTAACCCCGACATTCAAGCTGGAAAACGGTGTAAAACAAGGCTGTCCACTGAGTCCTACGCTATTTGATATCTACATTAATGACTTGATTAACGAGTTGGATAAAGAAGACAGTCTCACACCACAATTATATAACACACCAATTCCATGTATGTTACATGCAGATGATATCATCCTTATGTCACAAAGTAAAGATGGACTGCAAAATTCCATGAATTGTCTACAAAGGTATGCAAACAAATGGGGACTACAAGTAAACATAAAGGAAACAAAATCAATTATATTTAATAGAAATGGTTACAATACAGAGAAGCCAAATATAATGTGTTGAAATGATATAATTGAGAAAACAACAAACTTCACCTATATGGGTGTTAATTTTAATAGTAATGGGTCTATGGACTTAACAATGTCAACACTAGCACAAAGGGCAAGGAGTGCAGAAAGGACACAAGCCCCGATCTATAATAGCAATAGAAACAATATTACTATTAAAACAAAATTGTTTGAGACCACACAAATACCAATATTAACATATATGGGAGAAATATGTACGAACAAAAACTGGGACAAGACAGAAACTGAAAAAGTCCACCTCAGATTCTGTAGGAACATTCTAAATGTGAATAACAGATCAAGCAACATTGCAGTAAGAATGGATACTGGTAGACTACCATTGTTACACTCACTACACTATAAGGCAATAACTATGTACAAACATTTAATAACATTGAGGAAAAACATAGCTTTCAATGCTATGAAAGAAATAGAAACAAACAAAGACAATA